TTACAGTATATCATTTTATATTTTTAGAAGATTTTTTAAAAATAAAATAATCAATTGCATTCTGCTCAAACATTTCAACTTTAAGGGAGCTGCTTTTGGTGCAATATAGGCAAAATACTGGCAATCTGGTCAACCATGCCATTAGTCTTCAAAAGACAAAGGAAATAGGCTATAGTTTAGCATTGTTCATTAAAATCCACAGCAGTTATTCCTTTAAAAATCATTATTGTTCTAAATAGTGTCCTACTTTCAAACTAGAAACTTAAGCTAATATAAGTCCTATGGGTCACAGACAGCAATCATTTTGGTTTCATGGGAAGCATTGCTACACTATTCCTATTACTCCAGATTTGCTGCCTCAAGATGCATCTTTTGCTCTCATTATAGAAAACTGGTCAGGCACTATTTTGCCTCAAGGTAATTTTCATTATTTCAGTGAATTGATGGTCTGATGGTTCAGGTAAAAGTTAGTTTGCCTTCCTGGGAAATTATTTAAATGTGAAAAAGTAGAATTCTTCTCTGGGTTTCAAAGTGAAGTTTTTTGGTATTAGCTATTCCAATGGTCCCTTGCTCGGCAATCACTGTGTGATTACTTTTAAACCAAGTACACTGATTTAATGATATGCAGTTTGGAAGGAGGTTTTTCCCATCTTTCCTGCACTGTGGGGCTTTGTTGCACAATCAGTCCCAGCTTCTCTTCTAGCAGCGGCAGTAATGGCAAGTGGAGCTCTGAAGGCTAGCAAAGGAGCAAGGAGGCACTGTGCAGAGCTCTTGAAAGCTTTTTCTCTCCTTTGGCTTGCTCATGCCTGCAGGACGTACAGAATGAATTGCAGGTCAGGTCTTTTAGAAGAGAGGAGAGTTTCTTTGTACAAATTATTTTGTGTGTATAGAGAAAGTCAGAAATGTATGTACCATGGCTATTTTCCTTTAAGCTGCAGACAAGTGCTTTTAGATATGTAGAAAATAATTACTTCTGGAAGGAGTAATTTTTTATTATAATAATAATAATAATAATAATAATAATGCAGTTTGGAGTAGTGCAATGAAGAAAGTAGACATAGCACGCACATGCTGGCTCTTCTGTATGTAGAGAGACAATTCAGGAATCTCAACAGAAGTTGACTTGGCTGAGGATAGAACTGAAGTGGTAACTTAGTTGAAAATTGTAATTTACTGTAGCTATTAAAAAAAAATGCATTCAGTACATGTTTTACAGAAACATGCTTGCCTCTGACAGCAGTCACAACATTGCTGCTTCCAGTTGGGGCTCTGCATTTCAGCAGGGGCAATTTCTTCCTCCCACTAAGCATAGTCATCAGCGTTCATTGTCTCTTAGCTGCATCATCTCTCAGCGTGGTTAGAGTACTGTAGGAGAACCAGCAAATTCTCCTCTAACTTCCACTTTGCATCAGTAATTCCACTGAACCAAATTGTTCTCCCAATCTTTCAGTATATTATCTGTCAGTGTGTTGCCATAGGTTAGAGTACAGCACAGAGGGTACAGTATAGAATTGTGTATGTACAGCTGCTGCATGTATGACTGGGTCTGCCTTCTCCATTGTGAGAATTTTTGTATGGATCTCAGACAAGAAAATAGGTTAGTGGTTAAATGAATGAAGCCACTCACTATCCTAGGATTTCATATTCATTAGGTGCTTGTTAGACATCTATGGGTCTTTGTTGGATACTTGGAAATTTGCAGCTCCTTGTAAAATTTGACCAGGTCACAGTTCCTTTATTTAACTTGCTGGAAGGATGTTCTGCAGAGAAGATGAAAAGTTCTGTTGTAATAAACAGCAGGGGAGGGAAAGAAGGAAGGGAGGAAAGAAGGGAGTAAGGGAAGGAGAGAGGGAGGGAGGAAGGGAAGGAGGAAGGGAGGGAGGAAGGAAGGAAAGAAGGGAGGAAGGAAAGAAGGAAGGAAGAAAGGAAGGAAGGAAGGAAGAAAGGAAGGAAGGAAGGAGAAAGGTAGAGAACAGAGGAGCAAGGAGAGAAAGAGTTGTGCATGTCCTCAAGGATGAAGGCATCAAGTTTAACCATGAAACAAAGGAGGAAACTAACTGAAATACCCTTTAAAAGGTTAAGAAGTTTATTATATTTAGGTAAAATAACATTATCACCCTCATAGAAGTAGCCCAATATAGGTTTCACCATGAAATCAAGGGGTGTGATTGACTCCTTGAATCATCTGCAGGTGTCTACAATGTCTTTGTCCACATCTGAGCCAATCACTCTCCTTTTTTAATCACAGGAGAAAAATGGAAATGTTTTGGGCACATTCACCTCCTTCTAAAGTGTACCTCTAAAACAGATTAAACAAACCATATACTAAAAGTACCAATTTATCTTCATTAAGTATAGAAAGGAGGCCACACTGTGCAGGTTATCTGTAGAATTTACCTTCTAGATGTCTAAAATCAGGGGAAATTAATGCTGCCTGAAAGACACTGAATCAGTTCGTGACTAAATGGACTCTCTCGTGATGGTAGACTCTCTGTGTCATTTAATCTCTGCCTCAGTTCCTGGCTGCAAAACAGTTGAAATGTGCCATATTTTTCTCCCACTCTCAGTTTATCCGGTTTATTTCAGTTGAAGACCTTGGAAGCAGGGACTCTGCCTTACTTTCCCAGTATCTTACTGTCCAGTATCTAGCCCCACTCTTGTTTGCTGTGCTGGGTATCACGATCATACTATTCAGAGGAGCAGTGACCTGTGTGTGTACTTGAATTGTGTGTATCATATATCATCATACACAATGAGAAGTCTGCAGGTTGCCTTGCTTTATACCAACCTCAAGCAGCTTATCCATAGATGTGCAGTTCTAGATAGAATAAATGAGTAAGGAAAATGTAAAGGCTTGGCATATTTCTTATAGTCTTTGATTTCCTTTTTTTGCTCATCCTTCTGACTTGACAATGTTTGAAACATTATCATAGCTTTTTTTTCCATGGTTGTTGGGTTGGTTCCTGTCAGTAGAAGCACTGATTTACACAGCCTCTGACTCCTTACACCTATTTCTATGAAATTATCTCAGTTGCTGTGGTGTATATCTTTCTTGGGTGCGGCAAACCAGATTAGGGAGCTGATGTAGGCTAACAATAAGCCAGCAGAACCAATGGTTGCTAACCCACATCAGTTCCCTGGTGCCATTCCCTGCACAGAGAAAAGTGCTGAGGATTAGTGGAATGAAGGTAACCCTTAGCCTGTGAGCAACCCACAAGGCTCACTATGTCATGATGTACTGCAATACCTCCTACTTGTAACAGCAGTGAGCTCTTTCATTAAAGCTCTGTCCCGTAATGCCAAACACACAAAGCTTCTGAAATGACTGTCCAACTTCTTGGGGTCACATGCTTTTTACTGGCACAGTACACATGAAAATGTACGTATTCATCTAAGAGAGGCATGATGGAAGCACCCAAAGGCCTACCAACCTCTTCCAAATATATCTATCTCAAAGTGATCTACTTAACACATAGTAACTTTTCCTTTTGCCTCATTGTTTTAAGTTTCTTTCCCCAAATCCCACCCTCAGATTTTTAATTACCTTTGACTTCATAGCTTATGGTAGCTCATTCATTTTACAGTGGCCTTCAGAGATTCTTTGGACGGAAGTTATTCTTACCGAATTAATTTCTTTTCTATGTAATATTTAGCTATAGTCAAAATATCCACTGTATTAAATGCATTTGTACATATGTTCTCTGTTACTAGAACATTAAGCTTTAAGTTGTCTCAACTAATGAACCCATTATGCCTCTACCTGGGTGAGTTGTGTGTACATTCCTTGGAGGATTAATCTCTCTGTGCTACCAATTTCTTCAGTCTTCTGACACTTTGCTGTAACAGGACAGACTTACCTACCTACTGCAAATGACACCTTCTGCAAATACCATATTCTAGAAAGTCAAGGTTTGTAACAAGAAGCAATAGAGTTTATTAGGTCAGGTCTGACGTGGTCAGCAAAACCTCATAAAAGTTCTCAGGTGTATAAACTCTTCTTCACATCTGAAATAGAAGCAACTTACTTCAAGCAAAGTGCAGAAATAGGTCTCAGTTCAGTTTCATTACTGTTAATCACTCTGACTGAGAGAAAAGGATAGTTAACATCTATGAAGCTGAGGGAGCTGTTAGTAAGGAGAGAGGTGATAAGGTCAGTAGCCTCTACTGAGTAGAGAGAGAGGGACAGATTATTATCCCTTGTGGAGTCAGGAGGGTTAGCAGAAGAGATACTGTGAAGAAAATCATATAATGTGAGATAAACTAGCCTTCTTACTGAGCTCTTGATTTTATGATTTTTACTATCCAGCAGAATAATAAACTTTATATCCAGACTCACCTTCTGAAGGTTTACAGACACCACAAGTGACCACAACTGCTTTGAAATGGAGGAATGCTGACAAAAAGAGGCTTGATTTTTAATGATGAGTCCTTTAAAAGCACACGGTCTGACCTCTCTCTCCAGCATTGAGGGTCTAGTGTCTATAAATGACTTCTTATGTAAAGGCATATTTATGTGCATGCTACACTTGCCATAAAGACCCCTACTGCCTGATTCATATCTCAAAAGAAGATAACAGAAGTCACTCAAAGCTGAAATTAGGGCAGGGAAGACACAGCCTGCAGAAGGAGGGATTTTATGTGGCTTTGTTACAGAATCTGGTGAATGATAGTAGCTTCATTTTTGTGGCCATGGACCCATCCAGAAATATCAAGTCTGGAAATTCAAGATGCCTTTCAAAAATTTACTCATCCAAAATGATTACTGAAAGCCTCTGCCTGTCCAAATAGACCAACATTTCCAGAGAGACCTAAAACTAAAGGAAATTAGAATGGAAAAGTTTATTTAAATTCTATTCAGTGAGCATTACTGCACAGATGCTCTCGAAACACTAAGAAATATTTCATATGCAGTGTCTTTATGAAGCTTAAAAAATTAGCACATCAGTGAACTGTTTGTATCTCACCACAATGTCAATTTATTTTCTGTGCTATTATTGCAGGTGATTATGTAGTCATGACTATATACTTCGACTTAAGTAGAAGAATGGGATACTTTACTATTCAAACATACATTCCCTGTATATTAACAGTTGTTCTTTCCTGGGTATCCTTTTGGATTAAAAAAGATGCCACACCAGCAAGAACAGCATTAGGTAAGTTGTTAATAATTCCCTTTTCTGCTCTCTTTGTGTAGTTCCTACACTATCATTTGGAAACATCAACTTCCTTTCAAAGAGACCACTAGCTATATGCTTTGGATTATTGCTACCACATCTTGCAGACCCAGATCTACCTATCACCGAAGTACCTGGTTTTCTGCCTTTAATAGTATAATTAAAAGTAAACTACCCTGACCCTTTAGAATGACACTGCCACCTATTTTGCATAATATTCTAGAATTAATGTCTGCCTCCTTGTTCTCACCATGATATTTTAGTGACATTTTTGAAGAATAAATTAATTGCACTGCTGGCTTGCTTCCTTTCTGCAACTCTCCCCCACAGGGCATTATGTCTTATATATACAGAAAACTGTGGGATATAATAATATTAACTCACGCAAAGTGTTTTAGCTTGCATGCTTGAAGTTAAGCACCACACTGGGTGTATAGATATTTTTCATAGACTGTGGAGATTTATGCTGGTATAGGTTTTCCAGCAGCTCATTTATGTCAGGAGCAGCATGTGCGTTTTGGCATTGTGCTTTAAGATACACTTAGAAATGTTGACCATTTATTCTTATTTCTATAGGAAAACCTATAGGTTTTGCCAGCATCAAGGGCATAGGGCTCCATAATAGGCAATTATAGGAGTACATCAGAACTGAAGGAAAAACATTTTAGTCCAGATTGTGGTTGCCAGGGCTGCTGAGATGAACTGATTCAGAAATCTACCAGTCTAGGGAAAAAGGGAAGCTATGTCAAGGTTTACATGCCTGTTTTCAAGCGCAGAGGTTACCATGCCCATCTATTCTTTGCTTCCTCCTGCTGGAGTTTGTTACCATCTCCAGTTAACCAGCTGGACTCTCTAAATCATTTCAGTTTGAAAGAACAAATTATTAAAAACTGACCTGCCTGACTTTTTGGACTGAAATCAGACAGGAGGCATTTGTAGGAGCAACTGAGTCCCCAGGTTTGAGAGGGTGATACTGCTGCAAGGAAAGACTGGAGGACAAGGGCTGCGAACAGGCTGCACCTCCTTGGAGGACACTTGAAGGCAGCCTGCAGCAGGCAGGGTGTTCTCCAGTGCTGCTGTGTGACGACAAGCCTTCCTTCAACCACAGTATAAGAGAGGCCATTTGTACAAACCACCTCTGATCCCCTAAACAGCTGATCAAGAGTCATCAGTACTCCTCATCGTTTTTCATCCAAGTAACTCAGTGTTTACCAGAAATGGTGGTTACTTATATGTGAATCCATTTCCGTTAGCTCTCTTTCAAACACCATGGAGAGGTGCTCTACTTGATTTCAGGAGGAAGACACCTTGTTTGACAATGCAGACTTTATATAGTTGTTCAAAATGGCTTGTCCTCTTTCAGTCTGTTTCTCTCCTGCACTAATAAATCTGAGCAACCACCAATTTTGAGGGTGCTGTGGCTTCTAGCATAAACCCCCTGAAGGCCCTGAAGGGAAAAAGAAAAATGAAGTGCTAAAGAAACTTTGAAGTCCATTCACTCCGAATGAGATTTTAGCTGCTAAATCTCTTGAACTTGTCCAGAAGTCTGACCCCCACTTTCTAAGTCCTTCACTCATGCAAAAAACATGCAGTCATCTATTCAGGGTGCACTAAGGCCCAGGTTACAAACATTCTTCCTCCCAAAACTTCTAATGCTTTGATAGCTGAGTAACTTTCAGCTGAATGATAGAAGAAATATGTTACCAAAAATATCCTCTAACTGTAACCCCCTCACTAGCCACAGCTTTATTTAAGCAATGAAGCTATATGCCAGCCATTCCTGCTATCAATCCTTAGGTATCTTCCTAGGGGGAAGTTGTATCAGCTTTAATTCTTAGTGGGTGACAAGGGGTATCCTTCCAAACCAAGAGCAGCTCAGTGGAGCTATGGAACATGATCAATAAATAGAACGAAAAGTCTCAGAGAACCTGTAATAAGACAACTGCAAGCAGCCAACACTGGTTCACACTTTACAGATAATTCTGCATTAAAACCCATTTTGTGTGAGGTCAGCACAAGACCATAACCTGCTGGATTTGATCCAGGATTTGTAAAATTAACAGGCGTAGCACTTCTGACTATAAGTCATGTGGCATCATGTGGGTCCAGTTTTCTGAGGTTATTTTCCGAGAAAGAAATATTCAGTCCTCCCTCCCTTCATGTGAGTGCCAAAGTGCCTTTATACTGTGGCTCCAGCAACATGATGGACCCTAAGACTTACAGTTATTCTGTGACTGCCTCCACCTCCAGGACAGTGTGAAGACTATACAAAGGTGAGGACAGAGCAGCTGTACAACTGCCTGTTCATGGCTGTATAGACTTGCCTCTGATGTCCAGAAAATTGAGCAACAGGTCTTTAGAGTACTTCTCTGCTGAACTACTTTCTTCTTAAATTGGGTGACTCAGTGGAGATAAGGAAAGATTGACCGTGATCCATCTTTCTAAATAGGAGTCTGAAGCCCCGTGTGTGTGCAGAGTCACACAGCATCCATTTAGGTTATCCTTCTTAATGCATAACAGAAAAGGGAGAAGAGGCATCTAACAGTTTGCATTACTGATTTTCTGTAAGCAGTGTTCATACCCTGTCCCTGAGGGAGGTTCCCCACACCACACAGCTCCATTTTCCAATTAATTAGACACGGAAGTAAGTTAGATCACTAGTCCCAACAGTGTGGCTCTCCCTGCCTCATCCCCTTAGCCAGCAGGAACTTCAGACAAAATATGTATTCCTATACTGAGGTCATGAATTTGAAGTAAGAACATAAAAATGAGATGTTCCAAGGCTATATTCAATGGCTATCATGACTAACTCCTAAAACTCTGATGAAGAATTAAATTACTGGGCTAAAATATAACTTTTTAATAAGTCAAATGACAAGAAAATAATATATAATGGGTCACCTCTTTTTGTGCACAGAGTCCTGTTGCTCCAAAACCAGCAACGGCCTGTTGACACTTGGGGTGCAGTAAGCAGATGTTCCCAGTTTACTGTAGGTCTGCTTGTATAGCACAACTTATAAATCTGTCTGAGCAGCAGCACACATCCACATTTGCATAGTGGCACATGGTGAAATTTTGAGTAATACAGCCAAAGGCAAACCGCTGAAATTCTCCTGCTAATTAGTTGAAATTAATTGTAGACTCGGTGCACCAGACCTGCTCCAAGTATAGCTGCATTAATGTAAAGGGCTAGCATCAGGGAAATATTTCACTCTCTGAAATTAATGAGTAATTTCCTGAGCTATTGGCAACTACTCACAATTACATGAAGGACAGGTTTTACTGCTTTCTGAATAACGCTAAGTAATAAGCTATTTCTGTGCTGGAAAAAATAAATGTAATCAGGGTATTTGGCTGTGAGGGTGAAAAAATGGGACCATAAATATCCTTTCAGCAGCACTGTCTGGAGCCATCAAAGTGCTCTTTAAAAACTTGGCATCATAGTCCCTTTTTCATATGCACTTTGAGGGGCTGAGGCCCAGAGTGGCAATGTGATTCACTCCAGGCCACCTGAAGAGTCAGTGGGAAACTGGAAATAGAATTTGAGTGTTGGATGAGAACGGTGTTTTGTGATCCCAGGTTATTCTGCCCTCCATTCAAAGAGAAAAAAGAAAGGCTCTCTGCTGTTTCTGCTTGTCTCTAGTGATCAAAATTATTTTCTCCCTATGTTCATAGTCAAGAGCAGCCAGCAAATGTCTGAAGAAGAGTTATGATCTGGAAAAAAATAGGTTGTTTTCCTTGAAGATGAAGGGAATTAAGTTAAACTGAAGCTTTCATCCAGTTTCCCCCTACTATTTCAAAATGGGTATAATATGTAATAGGACTAGGCAGCTATTACAGAGCAACTTCAAACTGCAGTTTAAAAAAATACAATGGGTATCAAGGCCAGCAATGTGTTGATGTAAAAGAAGATACAGCTGATGTTTAACAAAAAATGAACATTGCTTTCCTTGCCATTCCATCTTAAGTTTATTCACTAGAAAACCAAGCCAGTGCTCTAAACAGGTGCCAGACCAGAAAGGTGGAGAAATTAAGTTTATAATGAGTGATAGCATGGGGAGAAGCAGTACACCTTTCCTCCAGTGTCCCACCAACACACCCTTTGGAAAATAAGAAAAAATGAGCCTCGCTGACCAAAGGGTTTCTAACACTGAACCTCCTGCTACCTCACTTCGCATACAGTTGCCCAATAAGCAGCTTTTACACAGTAATACTTTTAAACAACTCTTTAGGCCAATGATCTAAAGGTTAAAGTGTTCTCATGCATTATGTATCCCTGCATCATTTGATCTCCCAGACAGTCCTTTTTGATTTATCAAATAGCATCTTTGGTGTGGAATTTCCTAAGAGAATATAAATGTCACAAAATGGAATTTATACACAAACTTGTAAGCTCCCACTTACACTTGTCTACCTGGAAATTTTGAAGCCAGGTTTGTTCAAAGCTGTCCTTGGCTGATATTAAAATTGTGTTGAAATAGACAGTTCATGAGCACTGTGAATTTCAATAACAGATGCAAAGCTCACTTTGCCATACGGGCTTCCTCAAAGTGAGAGACTTAACAATTTCATCTGGCAAGGTTTATTGCATTTGAAACTACTCAACAAACCTAATTTTGTTAGCGTGAGAGATAAAATGAGCTAAAGGTATGTAATCTAGATATTCTCTTTGGAAATAATGGGTGCTGCATTTTATTCATATATGCATATCTATATTCTGACTTGTGAATGTATAGGAATACAAAACTGTATTATCTGGTGCACCTTCTTTCTCTTTGCTCTCTGTATGTACCCCTATAAGGCTAATTTTAATATTTTAAAATTTGTGCCAATGTGTTAGATGTAAAAGTGATACACTCAACAGAATTTGCTTGTTTATGGTGTGAGCTGGAATCCAAGTCCAAGCGTCATCTTACATGAAGAATGATGCTTTTCCATTGGATTTCATATCATAAAAATATTTTGTATGAATAATAGAAGTAAAAATATGTTTATTTTACCTTTGGATGTTTCCATCTATGTGCTCAGCAATCTTGTCCCATGCCCTCACTGTAATTTGAAAAGTGACATATAATCCAGAAACTATGATAGCTTGTGAGAATGCTAAACTCTCCTTTCCCCAAGGTTTTATATTATGGTAGCAAAATGTGATTTGTTGTCTAAGAGACTGAGCATGTACACTATTAATATCTTAAAACCAAAATAAATCTTACACTATTGCTGTGTCTATAAATTTAGTAGAACCTACTTTGTTTCAAACAGCTAAAATTAGTCCAGAGCCATCCAAAACTCCCAGATTCTGTATCAGTGGGGCATTTACAACATGATTTACTGGTCTGGTTTTGCTTAGTTCTCACCTAGAGCTTCTAGGTTTCCAAAGTCTCAAGCATGATTTGGGCAGGCAATTCACATTCAGCTCTAAGGCGCGGATATAGGACTCAGACCGAGTTGAGGACTTCTGCACTTAAGCACAGAGGTTAATGGTAATTTTTCCTTCACTTTTTTGCCTTCCTGTCCACAGTCACTTTGGAAGCTGGTCATCATTACAGATACCTGCACGGTACTTCTTGTCACAAATAATACAAAGTTATACATCCATTTCAGTAAAAATAGAGGAAAAACATTACATTGTCAATACAGCACTCAGTAGAAAAACTGCAGACCTTTGCAGAAAAAATGGTTTTGAGCATTGCAAGCTTTTTTCTTTTCTCCTTTTATTTCTTTTTAGGCTTTTAATAAAATAAGTGTCCTAAAGTAACCTATCACAGGATGAGCAGGAAATAAAAACTTTCCCTTGAGTCCATGTAAAAAGGACACTGTATATTGTGCTGGAAGAACACTACAGCTTTTGAGGAATTTTTTAAAGGTAGTAAAATACCGGAGAGCAGATGCATGTACATGTGCCTCTGAAATGGACAGATTTGTGTTAGAAATCTAAATGTGTGTTAGAAAGTGTTAAAGAAGTTCATTTCATATTGTAGAGTATGTCATAGTCTGGATGCAGTTCTCCTGAATTTAGCGTCTCCCAAGGCCTGAGTCAGGGTCATAGAAAAACTCTAATTAAGCTATTGCTAGGAAGGGCCAAATCAAGGCTAGTGAGTCAACACATTTTGCAGTTGGGCATCTTTGCAGTTGACTACTGTGACGAATGGCTAAGGATGAGCTTTGTCTCTGGAGCTTTCTAAAAGCATCAGCTAGTTACAGAACTGATGTTGAGGGATCTGGAGAGGTTGCTGGATCATGGCAGCCACATGTGCTTATATTGGGAGGTGACATAGATGACAAGAAACAGAAATATTTTCCCCGTAGCTTTTAGATGTCCAAGGTACACACAAAGTCCATGTTTCCGCTTCCTATCAGCATTGCCTTCATCTTGATTATTGGGTTGTGTTTTTTTCAGCAACCTTGTTTGTTTGATTGTTTGTTTGTTTGTTTGTTTGTTTCTGCATAGTGGATATTTAAGGAGTACAATTAGTTATTATTCATTGTAGAAGAAGGTTGGGGCCCAGGCAATAACCTGCTTTCTGGCTCTTCCAGACTTTATGACAGTTCGAGTGAGGAGAGTTATTCTTGTGAGTTGCTGTAGTTTCTATCAAATGCTACAAATCAGAGGTAGGCATTCCTTCATAAACAGAAAGTAGTCAAAAGTAATCCACAGATACTTATTTGTCTCTGGAGTGCTGTTTGTGGGAAGTAATTTTACTATAAGGCATAATTTAAGTCATCCCCCGCCATTTCAAACACTGTGTACCATTGCAAAATATCACTTTAACTATAAAAAGAAAGATTACCTTATCGTTATGTTGTTTTTAGAGCAGGTTCTCTCTTGAGACTTATTTGAGCGAGAGCTTTATTTTTCTTCCTAACCTAGTGAGGAGTTTTATTTTTTCTATCAGAAGGCTTGCAGTTCATAACAAATAATTAAAAGCTTCAGTCCAAAGTGGGAATGAAAAGACTTCTATTCCTCAGGAATGAAGAGAAATTATATGAATTACCAACAGCCAAATAACTGACATCCCATAGAATTTCATTCTAGGACTGGTTTTATTGTTTCAGGATATTTCACACTAAATAATTCCCATTATATTCATTATTACTAAATCAGTCTAAGATGTGATGCTTTGTATGAATTAAAAAGGCTATTTCCATTAAGGTTACATCTGAAGTTTGCGTGAGAGCCTGTTTTCCCTTATTGCGAAGGAAAATAGCAGTGGAGGACTCCCAAGAAAGCAGCAGTGTGAAAAGATTTTTTCAAAATTCATGGTCAGAACTTTGCAGCAAATTTTCCTTTCTTCCCCCCTCCTTTTTTTTCTTTTTTGAGCACAAGATTTTTCATGACAGCAGTACTGCTGTGAAAAAGACCGTATTTTCTCCATTATTTTCCAGGTTTATTATTTTTTATTTTTCTGGGTTTAGTATCTTTTCTGGTTTATATTTTTCTTCAAAAATTTCTTCTTTCTCTCCTTCTCACTCACCCCCGACTCCAACCTAACTGGGACCAGAAAAAGGAAGAGATGAGGAAAAGCATACTGAGAGGCATGGGAATGTCACTTTTGCAAAGACGAATACAAATAGCTGAGGTGTTTACAAAATACCACTGGCTTTACCAAAGTTATTTTTCATAATTTTTTTCTACTACCAAATGAAATTAATGAATTATTTGGATACACTTTGCATTTCTGTTTTCTATGGTTGTTTCTAAAGAGTCTTCTGCGACATGGAGAAATGATGTTGCATACAATTAAATCAAGTTTCTCTTTGCAGGCATCACCACAGTATTGACCATGACAACTTTGAGTACCATTGCAAGAAAGTCATTACCCCGTGTCTCCTATGTCACTGCTATGGATTTGTTTGTGACTGTATGCTTTCTATTTGTCTTTGCTGCTCTGATGGAGTATGCAACCCTCAACTACTACTCAAGTTGCAGGAAACCAAACTGTACTAAGAAGAAAAAGTCGGTAAGATGGGAGCATTTAAATATCTTTTCTAGCATGTCCATGGCTCAGAGAGTGGAGAATCATTCGATAGCCTGTAATTCCATGATACTCTGCTCCTCTGAGCTCTTCCCAGTTTATGGTGTGATCTGCCCTGAAAGCTGATGGAAAACAGCTGCAGTAACAGTAGAAGCAGTTATGTGCATGTTGAGTAAGGTCCGTTTCTAACAGAAGCGGCCTGCTGACCATGAGGCAGCAACCCTGCCTACGCGTCTTTTGTCCTCCAGTTACTGTGCTGGTAGTCATAAAGGGCTCCCACTGAAACAGATTGCATAGCTTGTTACACAAATATATGCACATCAGTGTGTATTCAAATACACCTGCTATTTCATGGCTTGACAGGTCTAGAAATATTTATGAACTTTACAAATGGGATTTCAATGTCTCCACTGGGAACCAGCACTTGGTTTGAGCCCTATGGACAAAGGGCCTTGTTCCCAAGTGCAAAAACAGGAAGTCGCTTGCAAAGGTTTTATGCATGGCTGCATTTTTGGCCAAAAAGATACTTCCAAGAGTAATGCCCAGACACACACAAAAGCTGTTTATTCAGAATCAGTTAAAACAATCATGCAGGAAGAATTGGCTGGTGTACTTCATAACTGAGTACAAGGATGAGAGGGGGCTGTATAATGGAGAAAAATTTCAGTATAAACATAGGGAAAGGGAAGTGAGTTGTCCACTCAAGGTCAGTGGAAAATCTTATGTGTTTGAGATTGGTAATTGGAGATGTTGAAAGCCATTTTGCATAATGGAGGAAATAAGGACATTTGAAATCAGAAATACAAAGCCAAATAGGAAAAATGTGAACGAGGAAATTGAAGAGAGAATGCTAAATTCAGGGAATAATAGGTCATGAGGTAAAAAGGGATTGAATGAAGAGCTATAGAAAATGATTAAATGAAGAACTAATGAAGGAAAAGCTGAAACAAATATGGAATTAGAGAAAGCCTAGAAAGCCATAGACTTAGTCAATGAAAACTCCATTAAACCTCTAATAGCTTCTTGTAAAAATGCATTGCACACAAAAGGCAAAAGAGTACCAAAAGAAAAGTGTGAGACAATCAAAATGAACTTGCTAATGATCAAACTAAAATTGCCATCCTATAGAAAGACTGAATGAAAAAGTCACGAGTATCTCTGTGAGTAGGATGTATTTCCAGACATGTGAATGAAGATGAGGGAAAGCATGCAACATTGATGAGATTTAAATTAACACAAGAACAAATGCTCACTTAGCTATTGTTTGCTAAATAAATAAATGTAATGGGTTGAATAAAGATTTAAAGTGGATGGAAACTAGGTGTGCACTCTGCTGAGGTTTCATGTAGTTTTAAAGTGTACAGAATGTTATGCTGAATGTATAGCATACTCAGCATGATGTGTTTTATGAACAAATGCATTTAAAGGCTTTGTTTAAGGAATGCTTTGGAACATTAGATGCATATGAAGCAATAAGTATGTTTTCTTCTTAATAATTCTTTTGTTATCTGTATTTAAGCTACCTGATGTCAGTTTTGGTCATGTGATGGTAAGTAAGCTATTTTATTCCATGAGAGCAATGGAGGCATGAATATATAGTTGACATTTACTTGCAATAATTCCTGAGAAAGCTGTAACGCTATGTTATGCTTTACCATGACTTCACTATAAATATTGTTTTGCTTTTTTGTAAAAGGTCAGTTTGTTTTTGGCTGTGGCAGAGGAACATAGCTGCCTCTTTCTATAAGGACTTATCGAATGATTTGGGAGAGAGAAGGGTCAAGTGTAGAATATTATGTGTTATTTTTACCTCAAAATTTTGTGTGTCTACTTTATACAATACTGCAGCTTCTCATTACATTTTATAAAAAGTAATAAGCACAAGTTATGTCATAAACTTATAGGGAGCTTTAACTGTTTCATAGAAAATAATTCATTTATTTATATCTGTAAAATCTTTAGCAAGCTTTCAGGTGGATTTTCAAATAGGTATCTAGTCACTTCAGGACCCCTCCTAGCTGACAGAGATTAAAGCAGCCAGATTAATCTCTCTGTATTATCAGGGCATTTATTTTATCTTCTGTCCTGAGCAGATAGATGATATAACAAAACAACAACAAAAAAACCCAAACTATTGATTGATGAGAAAGTTTCCTTTACAGAACCAGGGCACTTATTTATCTTCACTTACCAAAATCATCTGGAGAGATCTAACTTAGCCTTTCTTCTTTTTAACATAAATATTGTAGCCAGGCATAGAAAATTTCAGTCCCTGAGTAGAAAATTTTCATAAAGGCCTGCAATAAATGAACAATATATGACACAGTGGTATAGAAAAATTCCATGTATACTTTAGTCATAGCTTTTTTCTCCCCAAAGTGCTACAGTCAAAAAATGATTGCTTATACAATAATCTGAGACCTTTTCCATGTGGCAGCACATTGTAAAGCTCTGAAACCAGCCACCTGAAACTTTACGAATGAGAGAGAAGACCATGAGGGAGTAATTTCTGTCATCTAATCTCAGAGATAAAGTCATTCACAACAAATAGATTTGCAATAATCTCCTTCTAAACTGCAGTCTGTTCACAGTCGACAGCACAATGCACCTGAGAGAACTTAGCCATTTACTTATGATGAGATGACTTGTGTCCTAGAAGTAATTGGCTGGAGATACCATAGGGCAGTTGTTCAGATGCAGTTATCTATATTGGAGATGCCAACACCTAAGCAGAGAGATGCCATGTCAAGTTCTTAGCTCAGGGACCAGCATTTTTAATGACATGGGTAATATTATCATGTGCCAAACCAAAGGTTTTGTAGAAAGAAAATTAAGTCAATAGAAACAGGAAAATTTCCACTGAGGCACATCAGTCATATCACTGATGTGTTTCACATCCAGAGTGAAAGTTTTCAGATACGGCCCAGCACATTCAACAGGAACAATTGAGTACTATGTATAGTAAGTGTGGAAGCTGGGGCCCAGACCATCCTCCAGAATGCAAACAGGCACGATGCAGAGGTGTGAATAGCTTGTTAGTGCATACCCAGTATGCTTCTGCAGGCAAATGCAGTGCTCAGCGCAATCTCAGGGAGCTGAAGGACCCCCAGGTTGGAGAAAACTGTGCTGACAGGACTGGAGTCTGCTTTGTCGGGGCGGTGCAGACAGGCAGCAAAGCTGATGGGACCTTTCCTAGTGATGCCAGTGGAGGAGGTGACATTTGTGAGGATGGAATGGGTGGCTCGATGAGAGAGAAGACTATTGTGAGAAAGCACCTCTCATGAAAAGGAAATGGTGTGACAGAAAAGCTGACAAAGTGTAAATAAGGAGAACATTGAAGAAGGAGAGGTCTGTAGGTGCAAGTGGTACTGCGAGGATGTGTGATACCAGAGTGTCCTATTTCTGAGCACGGTTAGTGTGATAAACACTAAGGGGACATGCCTAGGGATGGCATTTTGAAATCCTGTACTGAAATCATCACTATCTGTTGCTGACCATATCTGTTTTTATAAATCATCTCAAAGAGGCAGTGAATGCAGCTATACTAAGTGGAGATTGTTCAGTAATTAAATGGGGAGGGGGGACATCTTCCTTATTTTTCAGAATCCATTCTTAAATGTAGTAGCTGCAAGTGTTTAAAGCAACTTGCAAATAATATTCTGACAGGCAAGTGAACTCCTAAGTGTGAAACAATGATTACTAGGAAATATATGCTTGAGTCACCCAAGTAGAAAATACACCTAGAATTATTCAGCTTGCTGCTCCACAATGTCTCTATGGAAGTTCATCTGAAAATCTTTTTTTGAGGGAAAGAAAGATGCTCCCTAAATCTAGAATTCCTATAGTATTGACCTCTTATTCTCAGCTCCTGTGATTTTTTCCCATGAGTATTAATTGTGATCTGCACCATCCATGGAAGATATCAAACTGTTGGTTTCTTTTTCTCTCCTCAGAATTATTCTGTACTTGATATGAGACCACCAACTACAGTCATCACATTGAACAATGCCATGTACTGGCAAGAATTTGAAGATGCGTGTGTCTATGAATGTCTGGATGGGAAAGACTGCCAGAGCTTTTTCTGTTGTTATGAAGAGTGTAAATCAGGCTCATGGAGGAGAGGACGGATTCACATAGACATCTTAGAACTGGACTCTTACTCTAGGGTCTTTTTTCCTACATCCTTCCTGCTGTTTAACCTGGTCTACTGGGTTGGATACCTCTATCTTTAAATGTTGCCTGTAGTGGTGAAGACTGCTGTTTTCACACTGTGGAGGGATGGTGAAAGTGCAGAAAAAGTGAAGGACATGGTCAGTTTCATCTCAAATTATAAAGGCCACATTAACCTTCACCATCACAGAGCCTGATGAAGAATTTTAATATATAATTGCCTGAAAAAGAAAAACATGGAAGAATTCTCTCCTTACTGCTATTCATTTTAAGGAAAAGATTCTTACAAAATTCAGCTGAATTTGTAGTGTAAGCGATGTTTATGAATAATTCTTGTACATTAGAATCTCTACTATTCTCCCTTGGCATAGAAGCTATACACAGTTCAGGCAAAGGTTAAATATGTCATTTTTGTTTTTCGTTCCCATACTTTCTTCAAAATGCTGCCATATCCCTGAGGCTCAGAGCAACATACACTGGCACTGGCAAATAAGCCAAAGCCAATGAAACCACTCATTTGTATTTAAACTTGCTTGAGCTATGTCCCACAGGTTTTGGAAATATTTCATTGATGATCTCCTTTCTATACAGAAACCACCAAAAGACAGTAAGAAATGTCTCTGGTGGGATCAAAACATGGACGTTACTTTCTGCAAAGGTCTGGGATTCATGGAATTAGCCAGTTACATATTGGTTTTAACTTAAGGTGAAAAGGCAGAGTTATAAGAAAGCTATTATTTTGATATAAATAAAAGACTTGCCTATCTCTGAGGCAGCTGTAGGCATAACTTCTACAGTTTTTCAAGCTTTTAACTGTCTTTTTTATGACTGGTTAAACACAGGATGGTCACTGATTTCTAGATTACTCTCCTTGAAGCAGGACATGATTCCTTCTTGTTTATGTCATTGTAGCAGATCATAGTTGATAGGCCATGAGTAAAAATCCCTATAAATAGCACTAAGAATATGTGACCTTCTTCAGATTGCAATTTACTAAAAAGTGCTTTCATGCATTCTTATTTTTTCTCTCAAAGTTATTTTACAAAATTGAAAAACATGTGTGCCAAAGGTCATTTTTTGTTCCTTCCATAAAGTCAAATACTGCAGTTCTTACTCACAGCAGTTGTTCCCTGAGTCTGAGCTGAAGATTGAACACTTTTGACTTGGATACTGCATTACGGGAACTCAATTGTCTCACTTGGATTAAACATGGAATAGTTGCCACATGTAGAAAAAGCTTGTTTTCATTTTTTTCCTAAACTACGAACTATATTTTACCCTAAAAAGCTATTTTGTACTTTTCAAGCTTTTGACCATTAAATTCTTAAACTACCTATTTTTTCAAAAACTACAGTGTTAAACTAGATTACATCTTTTACAGACTGTCTCAGTAATTGTCATTAAGCAAACAAAACAGATTCAAAATTAAATAGCAATGGCTTTTCACTATCCTTTGGATGACAAATGGTTACAAAAGATTAAAGTTAAAACATGTCTAAAACCAAAATTCTATTCTTTTTCTCTTCTGGAGGACCTGATAGTTTTTTTATCATCTAAAAAATGTGTGTCTCTTCCACACAGTATTTGATAAAAAATGAGTGTAGATGTGATTGAAGAGCAGTTCTTTTTCTCCTCAGAAGGAAAATCCTGCAAACAAGCAAAAACTAATGCAATGGTAATTCTAAAGGAAAGGAAATGCTGTCATGTTCTTTGAAACATCACTGTCTGTCATTGCTGTTGCTCTGTGCTTCCAGTGAGTTTTTAACTGAAAAAAATTACTAACACAGAAGCTAACTGTAGTTATTCAAAATACTTTCTTCTGTTTTTCACTTGCCTAAAATACCAGAGACAGAGCTTGGTTTACGTGGAGGAGGGGAATAAATTCTCTAAGGACTGACAAAATCCAAATTAGAAGCACAGAGAAGAAATATTTTGGGGCAGGATCAAAACCTTATTTTTAGCAAAATCTGCCCAGTCTGGTATTTTCTAAACTCATGATAAGCTTCTGATTTCAAAATACATGCTGAAGTTTTTGCTAACTCTCAGTAGCAAATTACTCTGTAAAATCTATTACTCCGTAAACCTGTGTGTCCTGCACTTGGAATTATGGAGAGATATACTTTCAGCAGTGCAAGAAGGTGATTGAGTTGAAGTTGAATATCCTGCTCTCTAATTATGAATTAATCTACTCTAACAGCCACCTTCAGCCATATTTTGCAAGAATACTAGAAATATTTCAAGCTTATATAAAAGAATGGAAGCAATTATCCTTTAGGGGCCTGATCCTGCAAACCCTCTGCACAATCAATTGATTTTGGTGGGAGTATTGAGACAGATGAGGCACAAGAAGATGCCTTCCACCATTAGATCTTGAACTGGTAAAGTGAGGTTTACCTAGCAATTGCGTACTTGAGTGAATGTCCTGGGAGTAAGTGTGGAAGTGGAACATTCCCATTTTAGATGATGAGCATATACTTTTCTTATACTTCTGCTCATGGCTACCCATTCCTGCTAAAAGCATGCAATCCCATCAGATCCTTCCTTGGAAGACTGATTATGCTAAGTCCATTCATATTGCCTCTGTTTTCTGAGTGCTTTAATAAACAGAAGTTGGAAACATATAATTCCACTTTTTTCCACCGTCCTAACCAAGAAAGAATCTGCAGACACTACTGGCTTCCACTCTTATACTGACAGCAGAGGACATATTCTACTGTGTAATACATTCTACTCTGGGATTATGTGCAAAAAATTGATTTATATGCAAGGTGAGTGGCTGCAGGCTGGCAGGTTCCAGAATGCATTCCTCTGCTTATTCCTAGTTGCTTGGTTTAGCCTCTCTGCTTCACTGCTCTGTGCTTTGGCAGCCACTGAAAAACCATAGAGATCAGGAAGATAAGCTTTCTAGGCTCTGCATCATTCAAAATGCAATTATTCTACACACCTAGATATAGGTGTCCATAAATCTATGTGCCATATCCTTCTGTAGTAGTAAGAATATCCTCATTAACTTCCAGATATTCTTTTGCTTCCTTCGCAAATTGAAAAAAATTAACACTTCTGTGCACTGTCCAATGAGAAATTTAAGAACAACATTTTAGCATTTTAGAACATTTTCTTATCAGATAATTTCATGTTCATGACTTGCATTTAATCAACTACTACTTTTTGTTATTTAGTACTTCTTTTTTACCCTTCCAAGGAACGGAAGGGAACGGAGGAAGGCAAAACCAAATTACTAGTGAAATGAACGCATTTGGATATGTATGTAAAACCACAAAATCAAGTATCTTCACATTACATTCCCTCCTTTTTGAAGTTACAGAAAAAATTGTGAGGGTTTGTTTAGATAACCAACTTTTCCCAGGAGGTTCTAAAGTCAAACCTCTTATTCTCCTCCTTCAGTTAGAAGTTGATGGACAGTGTTTTCCTGCATTGAGGGCAGCATTTTCAAGGCAATTAAGAATGTATAAAAATACTGGTCTGCTTAATTCAGTCTTCTCAGTTCTTCTGGCCCTGATGCCTAGCATACTGACAGCTCCTTCTTTTACAGCCAAGAATAAGCGTACAAGAACTTGCATCCAGTTTATGCTGTCTCCATGTCCAGACCACACAATTTTAATGTAACTTTCTAATCAAGAAGTATGGCTGTAGATTAAAACACCTCAGGCACTTTGATAACCTTTCTTCTCTTTCAGATGCTTATTTTGTCTTTCATCAGCTCTCAACTGTATATTGGTATATTGCACATACCAATAAAACCGATAAAAATTACAAGAGGAAGAATCAAAAAAGCCAGAACTGTCCTCACAGAGACAGCGATGAATAGTGAAGCTAAAAGAGGAGGAAGAAATTATTTTTCACTGCTGTGCAGTTTTCTGTCCCACTACTCTTATTCAATTCTTCCCACCAACTGCCCACAGCTAATTCCAAATCATCCACCTGGTGGTTTGCACATTCATCAGCTGGAACAGCAGTGACACATGAGCCTTTAGATGATAGGAAATCATATTTCTGGAACTGGAGGCATCCTGCCGAATAACTCGGAGAGCTACCTCAAACACTTGCAGCCCTAATGTGTCTGAGTCTAGCATCTCATGTTGCTGCATGAATTTATCACAACTCACCTTACTTGGTAATTTCATGAAAGGAAAGGATGCTTACCTCCTTTTTACACCAAATTTCACCATACATTTAGAAAAATGACTCTGTCCTGCTCCACTAGCCTCACCATCTGGAGGGTCGGTGTTACCTTCTAAGCTGTAAAACAAAGTGCCCACTGCAACTTGTCCATAAGAGACTGTACTTTTCCCATTGGCTGCTCCTTCTGGGTTTCTATAAAGCATTGAGGAAAGGCAAGCCATATTGCATAATTTTAACTGCCCACACAATTAGATGATTTTTTTCACAATATATTCTTCTTCTTGCTTACAGTGAAATCTTTGTGCCTGTTACATTAGTGTGGCTTAGTGCTGTTAGCATTTCTTGATATTGAAGAATATACTATTCCTGGCCCGAGAGTTAGAAAGAGGCACAATGACCTTGCTGGAGTTCTTCCTAAGCACCACAGTGTGTGATCAATAGTCTAGATGATTTCAATTACACATTGAGAATTTGTCTGATTTTTCTTTATTTTTTTAAGCAGTCTGTAGGTTTCTTAATTCTTAACTAGCAAGAAAACTGCAGTGGGATTTCAGCAGTTTAGCAGAATCCTTCCTTCTTCACTCAACAACTTAATTCCACCAAGAGATGCAAAGCATAAACTCAAGGCTGATGTTTACCTCATCCAGGTCACCTCCCAGAAGACTGGCAAAAAAACAGGCAAAAAAAAAAAAAAAAGGCCTTACTTCAAGACTCAGTGGCCTTAATAGTTTTACCTTTTCCCCTGGCATCCATGGTTTCTCTGGAAAACAAACAGAGAATCTACTTTCCTCACCATTTAGGTCACTATTTTAGATGCTAAAAACAAACCTATGTTTTATATCTAAAGTGAAATGATGTTTCAACAGAAAAAATAAGCCCTGTTTGAACTGCATTGCTTTGACAAGTTAAAGAGCAAACT